AGCCAATTTACCACCTTAAGGAATTTCCACCAAAACTCCATTTTCATGGTGCACACTTTGGCTTCAATTTCCCATTCACTCGGTAATGGTTTTGAGCAACCAAATATACCACGTGAATCACAACGCGGCATAGAACGCGTTACCACTTTGACCCGAGTAAATCGACACTCGGGGCCCACCTAAAAAATAGACCGAACTTAGGAAAAAATTCTGGTTTTATCCAGAATTTTATAACCATTTCCAACATAGTGTACCTTCAATATGTTGGAATATTTTGGAGCGTCACAAAAACTAGGAGTTAAAGTGACAAAAAAAAAATAAAAAAAATAAAAGAAGAAAATAGTTACTATATTTTACAAGTACACTAACTAGTTATGCATTATCTAGGAATATGAATAACAAATATAGTGAAGGTATACTTACATATAACACCCCACAAACCGGTTCAATCCAATCATTCTTTTTCTTACTCCAATGTGAAGTCTTGTAAAAATCTACAAAGTGAGGCTCCTTGCTATTTTCAATTCCTTGCATTAAAAATATAAAATGCAAGCTTAGCAATGTTATTAATAAATAAAAAAATGTAGCATTAGCTATTAGTTTTAAAACAAAAAATATGTTACCTCAATTGAGATTGCTGCTGAAAATGACCTTGAACCCATAGTGTGATTATAGGGTAAATGTTTTTCTATTGTCTATGTTTGTTTTTGACCATTCCTACAATGCAATACAAATATTATTGTATTTATTCTACAATGCAGAGTAAGAGGTAGCAGGTAAAGAAGCTGAAACTAGTACAGAGACAACCGAAGAATTTGGGACAAAGATATATAGGTGTAGAAGGAAAAGAGGCAAAAGCAAGATTTCCTTACTTTATAGCACACACATTTAGTTTCCTTTCTCTTTCACTCTCTTTCTCTGCAATTTCCTTACTCTATAGCACACACATTCAATCCTTATATATATACATGCATGTATAATTGTATTTATCAACAGCCATTCTTTCAATTTCAAAGAAACTTGGGAACTTTGAGTTATAAGAAATTTAAACATCTATGGATTTGTAGTGCAATTAGAATAAGGTATAATGGTGATTTGTGGTGCAATTAGAAGAAACATTCGTGAGTGTTAAGTTAATTACCTTGTGTGTGTCAGTAAGAAACACATGATCAATCATGTATCTCCAATCTTCTTTGCTCACCCTAACAAATGGCTTACTATAAGGATCTATCTCTGCTTTCACCAACGCTTTGTAATGTTGATTCATGTGATATCGCCAGCCTTTGAACATATGTGTGGCCTTTGTGTCAATAACTTCTTGTGCAAGTGGGCTCTTATTGTATCCTTCAATCTCAAATTTATCCTATCCCAATTAAATAATTAGGCAAGTAATCAGACATTGTATATATTAACCTACTTGCATGAACTATAAAAATTAAATTGCCCGTAAGGACAGCACAATAGTTGCTCGAATGGCTAGTGGATCGTCCTCCCAATTTTCTGTTCCTTGCAAAGGGGCTTGCAATCGAATTTGTGCCCCCAATTCATTGGCTGCCTTAGTGGCATTAAGACCCACAAATATTTGCCGCTCACTAGAAACTCCAACAAAAAGCTTCTTACCACCATGTTGGGTGATAAGTCTACTAGTCTTCTTACCCTTGTTAGACCTTGTACTTGCTTCACTGATGAACCTATATTATAAACACAAAATTCAACAGTTTCATATGAAGATTTGAACATCTATTTAAATAACACATGTGAATCAAGAAGTCAATCAACAAAATTGGAAATAAGAAGTAAAGAACATTTTGTAGCAGTGTACATTCTATGTCAAAGTTGAATTGAAGTTATTGTATGTATGTCCCCTTCAATCCAGTTTTTTTGCCTACAGTTCATGCTCCTTGGAATGAAGACCACCCAATTCACTCCATTTGTGTCACAACACTAGGCAACCAATCCAACAATCTTCAATCTCCACCACCCAATTTGCCTCCTTCCATGAGCCCTTTTGTAGTTTCACAATGAAGAAGAGCATCATGGGCTAATGCTATCCAATAAACCATCCTCCTCAACTTCTCCTAATTCTCAACATTGATTGATCAACAACTCAAATTTCTTACCCATCATCAGGTAATCTTTCTGTTTTTTTGGCTATTATTTGCTACCAATTGCTAAAATGTTTCTACAATTGTAACTAACAGATGATTGATTACATCCAAGAGAAGAAGAGATATCAGTCGATTCATCAATGGATCTACTTGGGGGGGAAATCATGAATGCATGTGTTGAACTTCAAAAAACCAAGATTATGTTTGTTTTTTTCACAGTTTGAATCCATGTAACTTTGCTCTTGTGCGTAGTATTATTATTTTTTGTCTAATATATATACTTGTATAAGCATAATTGAGACAAATCAATTTCTTATCCAATTGTATAAATTACTTGAACGTGTGCATATTGTCATTAGTCATGTAATGGCTAAATGTTACTAATTAAATAAATGGGTCAAACCTATTAATAGCAACATGGGTCACATCGTTGTTTTTTATTAAATGAATTGACTAAAAGCCAAACGGTACCGTTTCGCTCTCACAGAATTGTGGCTATGACAGCACGTCCCCTCAATCCCATACATGACAGGGTCATACTTCAATACTAACAGATTTGTAGTGCAAGAATCATTTCAACAAAATGTCCTGGAACATTTTATTATGCTGGCATATTAGCAAAATTCACAGTTAAAATACCATCTACACATTATGATTTGGCAACCAAATTAAACATTGTCAATCATAATCATTCCAAAAAGAGTAAGCATGTAGTAAGTACTCAACATAAATTACAATGGCAGTTGCAAGAATCAAACTGTTCTATACAAAGAATGAAACACTTACAAATACTAGCTGTTTGCGATGATGGAGATGTTGACAAGTGAGTTGAGACCTCAGTCAAGGTTGCCCCCGACACTGAAGTCGTTGACCTTCTCTTAGTGGCTTGCCCATGTGGCATTTGTGTAGTCTTTGTATGTAACAAATAAATTATAAGCAATGTATTAATAAAGATTTAAAATGCATGACAATTCATGAAATTATAAGACAAGCTAATAGTTTAATATTACAACTACATTACAAGTAATGAAATTATCAACAAAAAAATTCATTACAATTTGAATCATAACTACACATGACTTCATTAACAAGTGCATGCCATTATAATCAAGGACATTACAGTCAAAATGACTTGATAATGTAAACAGTAAAGGACATTACAATCAAGGCTCTATATCATGATCAGTATTTGAGTCACTATGACTACGAAATTCATCTTCATCATCACTAGGATCATTTGAATTTTGATCATCATCATCATTATCACAGATAAAATCATCTCTGTTTGCAGCCTCTACATATACACCTCCACCAGATTGCAGAACCACTTCACTTGGAATAATATCAGGTGTAATATCGGTCCTACATAAAGTGTTGCTAATGGAATCTACAATAGTGATTCGACAATTTCAGTGGTCTTGTCCTGCTGGAACACATCATTCGGAATAGGCAATTCATTAGCATTAGGATCTATATCCTCAAGCTCCAGTACATTCCATATTCCTCGACATTGAAGTCGCTCTACAACTTTCCAATGTTCACCTAATTTGGTATCATTGACATAAAAAAACTTGTTGCACTTGACTTGGCATGACAAATGGGTCATTTTGATACCAATGACTTCTTACATCAATGGTTGTTAGATGTGTTTCAGTGCAAAATGTTCTATTGCTGCCGGTGTTAAACATTCGCATTGAAACAACACAACTTGATGCCCGAAAATGTTTGTCATTTCCCAAACTTTAGTTAAGTGACCATAGAAATCAATTGACATACCCTGATGATCTCCTTGAACATCCAATCTGCTATTTTGACTTTTATGACCACTACAACAATTTGCACTTTTGGTGACCAAATTTGGTGACTAAAACAAATTTAGTCTCCAAAAGTCAGACCTTTGGTGACCAAAAATTTTATTGGTCAGCAATGGTCTATATTTTAGCTACTAAACTTTTTTATTAGCAGTATATTAGTTATTCGTGACGAAAAAAAAATTTGGTCGCTAAATATTATGTAATAGGCGACTAAAAAAATGTTAGTCGACGTTAGTCTACATTTTAGGCTACTAAGTCTTGTTTTAGTCATCGTATACAACCATTTGCTGGAAAAAACAAAAAAGTTTAGTCACTAAATAACAAGCTTATTTTTTGGATTAATCTTTGGCGACCAAATATTTTCATCGGCAAATATAAACTGTTGGTGACAAAAAAAAATTTGGTCGTTATATAATCATATTTGCTGACGAAAAAAAATTAGAAGCCAAATTACACTTTTGGCTACAAAAATTTTAGTCAATATTGATTATTGTTTGGCGACCAATATAAGTTTAGTCGCTAAAGGTAGAATTTTTTTTTCTTTTTTGTTTTAGAAGGAAGTGAATATTGGCTCATGCGCCCCTCTTTCACACAAACACAAGATCTCTGTTCTCACTCTCTCTCACACACAGCTCTCTCACATACAGAACAGTCACCACCAAACCTCACCCCTGGCTCACCACTAACACTCACCACCCCACCATCGCTGGCCACTATTGGATGTCGCACCGCCATCGCTGCAAATTACCACCACCACTGCCGCAAATCACAAGTTTTTCTCTCTCTTTCTGTCGCTCTTGGTCTCTCTCCCTCTCTGTCGATTTCGATCTTTATCTCTCTGTCTTTGTCTCTCTCTCTATCTCTCTCTTCCTCTATTTCCCTATTTCTCACACTTACTAGGGTTTTATATGATTTTTTTAGTTTAATTTTTTGTTGATTTCTTAAATGGGTTTGGTTGAAGTGGTTTGATTTCTATAAAATTATGGGTTTGATCACCAACATTGGTTCAATTTAGGGTTTACGGGTTTGACAAAGAAAAAAATTTGATGTCAAAAATCAAAATCAATGAAATGTGATAATGAGAAACTTTGGATTTGGAGTGGGAATCATAATTGGGATCGTGGTTGGGTATTATCTGTTTATCTATTTCCAACCAAGTGATGTCAAGGTCAGTGTCTTTATTTCTTTATCTTCACACTTCAGGCATTTTGATTTTTGGTTCTAATTGTTTTTCTTCAGCATTTTATTTGTCTTTTTTCTTCATTAATTCTTATATAATTCATCTGTGTAGTGGTTTGGGTGTTTTCTAATTTAGTCATTTGTCTGTAATATCACTCTGTAAACCAATGAAACTGTAATGAAACTGCTAAACAGATTCTAAGCTTATGATGATTGACTTGCACAGATTTAGGATATTTCATTGGAGAGAATTGGCATTCTTAGGAGAATTTAATGCTTAGTGGATTGGAATTTGTATGGCATATATTTAGGGTTGTAAATAAGCCAAGTAGTTAGTTGTTGAGGTTTGACTTAAAAACTTAACGAGTTTTAAAATACTTTCAAGCTTGGCTTGTTTACATAACAAGTCACTTTTTAATGAGCTTTTAAAAAACCAAACACGAATATTTCGCCAAAGTGCATTATTTTGTGTCTCAAGCTTTGTCAATTTATTTTTGTTTCTTGATCACAATGTAAGATTATAATTGTCCCCAATTGTCCTTCCTATAGATCTGCCCCAAATAAATAAATATATATCGCAACAAAAAGGAAAAAAAAAAAAAAGGGATACAAGGTTCTTTAATTCCCACAATTTTTTACATGATTTTTATTTATTTATGTTTTGTTATGATTGTGTGTGTTTCAATTATCTAATAAAGCCCATTTTATTTAATTTGACTTCTCACTATAATTGTACTCTTGAAAATGATTCATATACTTCAAAATATTCTACCAAATAGGAATCTCCGTAATATTTTACTGGAGAATTCTACTTTCAGTTGTGATCACTGACCACTATTAGTACCTTTCTTCTTTTATTTATATTTTTTTCCATTTTCATTTTTTGCAACTGTTGTAGTCTGTCTAATGCTAACCCTCCACAATATCACTGACTTTGTAAAAAAATTAGAATTGATGCTAAAAAAAAGTTCAGTTGTTGCATGTAGTGGTTAATACAGTTGAACCTATTTCCTTTGATGATTAAATTTTCTTTTCATTGGAATTTTCAGGATCCAATTATATGTCCATTGGTCAAGCAAGATTCTCAAACATTGCAATGGTTGCTTCTAGGGATACCAATTTGGGTGAAACATCCAGACATTGATTGTGTAAGCTGTTTTCCATTTTCTTTTTTTTTTTGTAATGTATAATTTTTCAAACTACATATTTGAAATACGAATATTCTTAAAAATTATGTATATACCTCCTTGCTATGCATATTTATATAAGATTCTTGTGGTTTTATTTTTGCACAGGTTGATTGGCTTAACAAATTTATTGAAACAATGTGGCCTTATTTGGACAAGGTATGTTTAGTTGGACGTGTTGTATGTGTATTGATGGTTTAAGGTCCTTAGGCTATCCTAGATGATTCTGCAAAAAATATAGCAGAGCCCATCATTGCTGGGCAAATTCCAAAATACAAAATTCAGCCACTTGGATTTGAAACGCTTACCTTGGGCTCCCTGCCTCCTAGTTTTCAAGGTTCTCTCTCTTAATGTTCCAATCACAATTTGAGTTTCACTCTTCTTTCCAAATCAACTTCTAAATGTTTTTACTTTTTCATGCCAGGAATGAAAGTCTATGTAACTGAGGAGAAAGAGTTGATAGTAAAGAGATTTCAAAGAATCAAGAATTTCTTTATTAGATTGAATAGAATATCAAGACACAGATTTATACACGTGAGTGTAACAACCTAACTCAACTATAGTTCTAACCAACTTACAACTGATGTTAACATAACTATGGTTTGGTAACTAAATGCTGACTGGACTTCTTTTCCCTTGACTCTGGTTGAGCTTCTAACTTGGACTGTATTATCTCATCATCCCCCTGCAAGCTGAAGGGAGAAGATCGAACCAGAAGCTTCTGCTATAAAAATTGAAATTGACTAACAGACAAAGGCTTGGAAAAAATATCGGCAACTTGATCAGAAGTGGAAACATAATGGATGAACAACTGCTTGGCATCAACCCGTTCATGAACATAATGTTAGTCCATTTCAATATGCTTTGAACGAACATGAAAGACAGGGCTACTAGACAAAGAAATAGCCGAAAGATTGTCACACCATAAGGTGGGACGAGGAACAACAAGATGCAGATCAGAGAGTAGCATAGTTAACCAACTGAGTTCAGCAGTTGTTTGAGCCAAAGCGTTGTATTCAGCCTCAGTGGAAGAGCGAGAAACAGTGGGCTGTTTTTTAGCAGTCCAAGAAATCAAATTGGAACCCAAAAAGACACATTAGCCAGTAGTAGAACAACGGTCAAGAGAATCACTAGCCCAATCATAATCAGAGTAGGCATGAAGAAGAAGAGGACCAGAAGAGAACTGAAGACCATGAGTAAGAGTACCTTTCAGATAGCGAAAGAGACGTTTAACTGCAACAAAATGGCAATTGAGAGGCTAATGCATCAACTGACAAACAGAGTTAACAGTAAATGATAAGTCGAGGCGAGTAATAGTGAGATACTGAAGAGCACCGACAATAGACCGATAAAAAGATGGATTAAAGAAAGAATAGCAGAATTGGGAGTGGAGGAGGATTTAACAATCATGGGAGATGAATAAGGCTTACAGGAGGACATGCCAGCTTTGGCAAGAAGTTTGTAGCATATTTAGTTTGGGACAAAAAATAGCCAGAAGAAGTGATGTGAACAGACATACCAAGAAAGTAGTTGAGAAGACCAAGTTCTTTCATGGAAAAGGAAGAATGCATTTGGGAGACCAAGAAAGAGAGAAAAGAAGGATCATTACTAGTCAACAAGATATCATCAACATAGATTAACAAAACAGTGAGAGAAGTGGAGGTGTGATGAATAAAAAGAGGGGAATCACAATGACTAGATTTAAAACCATGTTGAAGAAGAAAAGAGGAAAAAGTAGAAAACTAGGCCCTGGAAGCCTGTTTAAGGCCATAGAGGGCCTTATGCAACTTGCAAACGAACTGAGGATGATTAGGATCAACAAATCCCTGAGGTTGGTGCATATATACCTCTTTATCAAGAGTGCCATGGAGAAAAGTATTGGAAATATCAAACTGCTTAATAGTCCACCCAAAATGAAGAGCAAGAGAGAGTAAGACTCAGATTGTAGGTTTCTTGGCCACGGGACTGAAAGTTTCCTGATAATCAACCCCAGCCTCTTGAAAATAGCCCTTGGCAACTAAAAGAGCCTTATAGCGACCAATAGAACCATCTGAATTCTTTTTCAACCGATACACCCATTTGCAGCCGACGACATGCTTATTAGGAAGGAGAGAGACCAAACTCCAAGTACCTTGTTGCTGAAGAGCCTGATATTCCTCAAGCATGGCTTGAGACCAAGCAGAAGACAGAGAAGCTTGAGCATAGGTAGTAGGTTCAAAATCAGAGGAAGCAAGAAAACACAGAGATTGAGAGGAAGATTTAGAGCGAGTGGTCATAAGATGGTGATTCAGAGGAGGGTGTGGAGGCAAAGAAGGTAATTGAACGAAAAGAGAAGAAACAGGAATAGAAGAGGATGAAAGGATAGCAGAAGGAGAAAGAACAGGACTGGGTGGGGCTAAGGCTAGCAAGACCTGTATAGGTGATGGCGGAACTGATGGGAGCTGAACAGAAGAGGGCTGGATGGATGAACCAACACCTGGAGGTGCTGAACCAGACGGAGGAACAACATAACTGGAAGAAGGGACAGAGGAAGACCAGAGAAAAGTCTGAAGTTGAGGCATAGAAGGAGACTGAGAAGAAGATAAAAGACGTGGATGAGCAAAGGGAAAACACCGCTCATCAAAGACCACGTGCCTGGACAAATAAACCTTGCCAGATTGAGGATCAAGACATTGATACCCTTTAACAGCAGGATGATAGCCAATAAAAACACATGGAATAGAACGAGGTTGTAACTTATGGGAAATACATGGCTTTAACCAAGGATAACACCGGCAACCAAAGGTTCGAAGAATAGAATAATCTAGAGGATGAGCAAATAGATCATCAAAAGGGGTAAGAAAGTTGAGCTTGGAAATCGAAAGGCGATTAATTAACATGGCAGCTATAGCAATAGCATCAAACCAAAATTGAATCGGAATAACAGAGTGATGCATAAGAGCAATAGTAGTATCAACAATGTGGCGATGTTTTCTCTCAACTACCCCATTCTGAGCAGGGGTGTAGGGACAGGTTAATTGATGATGGATGCCGTGGGAAGTGAGGAAATGTTGAAACTTAAGAGAAAGATATTCACCACCATTGTCACTAGGGAGAATTTGAAGATGAGTAGAAAATTGATTTTCAACAAACATTTTAAACTCAAGAAATTTGTTAAAAACCTCACTCTTATAGGAAAGAGGAAACAACCAAGTGAATTTACTATAGTCATCAATGAAAAGTACATAATAGCGACATCTAGCAACAGCGGGAGAAAAAGGCCCCCAAACATCAGTATGGATCAATGCCAGAGGCTTATTTACAGTAGAATTTGAGAGACTAAAGGCAAGCCTGTGGCTCTTAGAGACACAACAATGAGTACACAAGGTGCCGGAACTAGTATTAGGAAGAGAAATATTAGCAGACTTGGAGAGATGCTTTTGCTTCTGAAGAGAGAGATGACCCAATCTTAGATGCCAATCAGGGGAAGAGGGCACGGTAGTAGAACTGTGAAAACAATGTGAAGAAGATGGAGATGAATATGGCATAGAAAGATGATATAGACCATTAGTATGATGGCCTTGAAACAGTAGTTTCTTGGTGACTTTGTCCTGAATAACAAAGGAATGTTCATCAAATGTAATAGTACAGTTGTTATCAGCAGCTAGTTTTTGAACAGAAAGGAGACTAGAAGAGATAGAAGGAACATGAAGAATATCATGAAGTTTAAGAGCAGTAGAAGGAGTGGGATGCAAACCAGTGCCAGTATGATCAATAGCCAATTGATTTCCATCACCAATGGTAACATGATCCTCACTTTCATATGGTTGATAGAGAGATAGATTGTTGAGATTATTAATGAGATGACTAGTAGCCCCAGAATCAAGGTACCAATTTGCATTGTTGTTGTCAGATGAAGAAGAGGCAACATAAGCCTTTGGGGAAGTACCTCTCATAGCAGATGAAGGACCTTGAAAACTTTGATCCATTCTGTACTAGCAGTCAAGAGTCGTGTGATTGGCTTTGCCACAAATTTGACAAATGAGTAAACCAGTAGAAGAACCAGAATGAGAAGCAAAGGCAAAATTTGGAGTAGAAATTCAGCTGCCTCCACCACTGCGGTTACGATTTCCCTTGAAAAATCGACCACCCCTGTTGGAATTTCTGGAATAGCCACCACGATAACCTCCTCTGTCAGACTTAGCAAATGGAGAAGAATTTTGCCTATTAGAAACATATGCAAAAGGCACATCAGTAGAACTAGAGTGCTTGGCTGAAGACTCAACATGAACAACTTTGGAGCAGAGCAACGAGCATAGACAATCGACAGAAATGGACTCAGCTCGTGCTCGAATGGTAGTCTTGAAGGTGTTGTACTAATTTGGCAAACCATTTAGAATGATAAGCACTAAATCTTCATCATCAATTGGAGAGGAGACCGAAGTTAATTGATCTGAGAGAGTCTTTACTTGACCTAGATAATCCTCCATAGAATGCCCTTTCTTGGAGAGACGATTCAATTGATTCTTGAGTTGATGTATATGAGATCAAGAGAGAGAGGTAAATCATTTTTCTAGTGATATCCATACCTCAAAGCTTGATTTGCAAGAGCAAACCGATGTCAAGATCGGTGGAGATAAAGTTGTAGTGATGCAACTTAACAAATGTGTATCAACAGTTAATCATTGTTGATGTTTTGGATTCACAACCTCTTTGTTCAAAGAATCAAGAACAATCGATGGAGTACACGACAATGATCCATCAACATAGCAGAGAAGCTTCGTTGCTTGTAAAATATTGAGCAATTGATTTTTCCACACGATGTAATTTGAAGAATCAAGCTTAACATTCACAAAAGAATTGAGGTTTGAGATGAGTAATGTGAGATTTGGAGGGAGATCTGATGGATCTGCCATGGAAGAAACCTAGGGCTCGTTGGAGCTCAAACTTGCTCTGATACCGTAAAGAGATTTCAAAGAATCAAGAATTTCTTTATTAGATTGAATAGAATATCAATACACAGATTTATACATGTGAGTGTAACAACCTGTAGACATCCCTGAACGTCCCGGGAGGATGAGTCCCGTTCTGTTCGCTTTGGGCTCACTACAGTTCGGACTCTCAAATTATCGTGGTTCTTAATCTAAACCAAAGAGTCCAAATCCAGCAAATCGTTTTGGAAAACAGATTTTTAGAAAGAAGTTCCAAACATGGACTGCTTTGCCAGATACAGAGTCGCCACCTAAATATTTTATTCTGAGAAATTTAGGAAATCCTGACTCGGTGCCAAAGGCCACGTGTCCGTCATCACCAAAGTTGCCTCTGCTCGGGAACTTGGGTACGATTAGGGAAGGTCAGCTATGAGCACCCCCTCTCGCCCGATCAAAGATCGGCCTCTACTAACCGTGATATCTTGTTTTGAAAGCATTATGTGTTCTTATTCCGGTTATTAGCCTAGAATTACTATGTTATGCGCACATCAAACAAGTATAGACCAAATCACCCAAATTAGAACAAAACATTGCATGTTTGTTTTGCAAATGGATTGCTAATTGCAAGTGGGCTAAAATGCAGGTTTTGCCACCCTCAAGTGGGCTTAAAACTCACAGTTTCAATGCATTATTCCAATTTAGGTAATTCGACCTCCATCCACAGGCATTCAAGCAGTTATATCACATAAGCAAATAGCCTCATGGTAAGCATGTTGTCATGGCAACACTCACACGCATGCAAGGATGCTAAAGCATAAGAACTTACCGAGTACTCCGAGCCAAAACAGAAACTAGATAGTAATCATATGCATGATCCTAGTTCATGTTAAGATGGCTAATGCAACACATGCAAAATGCAACTAAGATAGGCTCGGCTAATCTATAATGACATGTGAAATGCTACAACTAACACATATTCAATTTGGAATTGAAATACAAATATTAAATGTAGAAGGAAGGTGGTCGCAGCCCTGCATCGGAATGTGTGAATGATGCATGCTTGACTCGTCTCGCCCGGAAACCCGCTACCATAGCACTGCTGCCTCTGTTTTCACTGCCTTGCTCCTCTGAAAATTCTGAAAGTCTCCAGACCCCTTTTGAACCATCCTCTGAGTGCTTTGGGATGTCACCGGCCATAATTAAAGTTCACCGGCCATGGTAATGGGCTTATCGGCCAACTGTTGTACCACCGGCCAGCCACTGATGGTCGGTCGGCACTGTAGGTGGCCGGCCGGCCATTGCTTCCTGCAGAATCCTGCAGTTGACAGCAGCAGAGGCAAGCAATGTATGGCATGGAATTTTCAAGCAAATGTGAGCATGGCCACACTCCCTATCATGCAATGGACTCAAGGGAGCATGGCCCTCGACCCTCGGGCCATTAACTACGCAATTTGATGCATGATGGCCTAAGAAGCCAAGTTAGCAACTTAATGTAGATGCATGCAACAAATAAATGAGTGCTAATACCCT